ACCGAGTATAAATAAAAAATATTTCCTATCTGTGTATCTATGTGCAACGAAAACAGTTTTATTAATCTGTTTATTGATTATACCATGATATCCTTGTAATATTCCCAAAATGTTTTTATGATATTATGATGTATTTTTATCTTTTACAATTTATAAACTAAATAATAATAATAATAGAATCAAAATAAATATTTTTCAAATTTGAATAGCAATAGAAAGAGCGGGACTTTTATAAGAATATTACTATAGGTCAGCTACTACTTGAAGATTATTGGTCTGTTTACAAAGAGCATGCAATCGGATTCGCTATTTTATAGAAAGAATAATTTAAAAGTTTAACTGACATCATATTAGTCTGTCTTTCATATTAGTTTTGAAAGGTTAATAGATGTAAGTACATATTTTGTCCAAAAATTTACCATGTATATAGAAAAACATTTTTCAATTAAATTGTTTAAGAAAGAATATGAGCTACCAAAATGAACGATTTTAATCTGGTAAGTTTGATAAAAAAAATTTATAACATTTAATAACATTTATCTTCAAAATTTTGCATTTCTGAAATTAATTATACATATAGTATATTATATCTTCGAAATTTTAACAATATTATTATATTTATAATAACGAAAAAATAATTTAAAATATATTATCGTATAAAATATATAATAAAGATTATTTTGTCAAAAATATATTACTCTGTTTCAATAAGGTTAATAAAAGAATAAAAAAAAGTGGAATTGACGACAATCATAGATTTTCAGCGGTGGCGCTTTAGTTGTCATTTCCATCTCCGGCGCCACCGCTACTTCAAGTACTATCTCTGTCACCGGTAATTCCATCCCCTTCTCCATTTCGCGGGTAGCGACGCCTCCGCACGGCGCCGATCAATAACGTTGTTCTCGGCGACGCCGGCGTCGGGAGCGTTGCTGTGTGAAGGCATCCGCAAGCAATCGACGTGTCGCCACGAAACTTGTACACGGGTGCAAAAGAAGCGTCGCGTGAAAAAAAACATTTGGGAATGCAACCACCGTATCTATTACCGTTTTGCAGAACGAAACTTATGATAATCAATTGCAACAACGATTCCTGGGTCCGGAACCAGCGATTTTTGGATTCGAGCAATCTTTAGGACCCACCCACGATACGATGGCTAAGGTGAGTTCTGTCAAAATAATAAATTAGTAATTTATCGTATTACTAAAATATATTGTTTTTCTTCTTCTTTTATTGTTTTGTTTTTTTTACGACATATATGTTTTAATTGGTTTTAATGAATTTATATTAACATTTTATCGGAAGAACGTGTTATTCCTACTCTGTCAACAACTGTTGCTGATTCTTAGAAAAGATCGTTTTCTGTGGATAATCAACTCAATTTTGTGCTTTTAATTATAAGCAAATGATTTTATTATAATTAATTTCTAAATTAATAAATTATCGATACGATTTTGCAATATATCGACTATGTGTACAGTAGTCACGGTCTATCTCGGCAGAAAAAGTAGTTTGGCGCCGTCATGATCAGCCGGACTGCAGCACACGGTCGACATTGCTAATTGAATATAAGAAAAGAATTAATTGCTATAATAATAATAATAATGAAAAATATATATTTTTTTACATAATATTGATAGCGATACATCTTTTACTATTAATCTTTTTTTTTTATTGAAATCTTTTATGTATATATGAATATTATTTGAAATACTAAATCTAAATTTATAAATAAAATATTAAGGGTACATGTGAAATTAATGGTTTTTAATTTTATTCAATTAATAGTATCTAGATATCTGATTTATCAATAGATTCATAAATATGCTATATATATGTATATTTTATGTACAAATAAAATATAGAAAATGTATCAATTAGAAAAAAATTGAGTAGATTAAGTATTAGAAATAGTACACTTGATTAATTCACAATTATATGGTAATATAATGATTTAATATAAAAATATATATTGCAATTAATAAATTTCTTTAACAGTAATCCATTTATAAATGAAATAATATCATTATTTTATTTTGGTAATTTCAAAATTATATGGATATTATTTTGTTTTCTTTTTTTTTATTTGATGCTATCAATTCTAATAATTTGAAATATTTATGCAGTTCACAGAAATTCACATATAAGTTGTATCATAAATTCTTGTGATCGATTGATAATGCATATATGTATGTCTCATATGATCTGCATCGAGATCATATTCATTGAAATATTCGTATTCAATGATATTAAAATATTAAAAAAAATTATATATATGAAAAAGAAAGTAATACGTTTAAGTAAATATTTTGAGAATATTTTATAAATTTATTATATAACTTTGTAATATTTTATTTTACGATAATTTCTGGTATTCAATATATATGTATACATATTTTGATAATTATTTACAAGATATCATCGATTTTAATAACCTTGAAATATATCCTCAGGGACAACGTTCTGAACAACTTTCCTCTTTACTGTAACCGTCATTCGGCCTTAGTTTTCAAGATATTCAAAAAAAACTTAGTTAAACTTAGGTTAAGATCACGTTATACTTTAGCATATGCGGTCATTTGATAATGAAGATATACGAGGAAGTTATTTGTAAACATACGTGTAAAATGATTAAGAGATACATGTTCCTAGTGTTTATAGTACAGAAGTTGTTTGACATTAATAATATAAATACGTAATGAAAATATATTTAAAGCTTTAGAAATTTCTATTTTTATTTATTCTAGTTCTTCTCTCTAAAGTAAAATTTCAAAATGCAAATTAAAATCACAAAATATATAGTAATTAATAATTAATATAATATATATAATAAAAATTCTTAAGGATATATTTTAAAAACATTAATGAGCATTCATGTAGGGAAAAGTTATTCAGATTTTATCTTTGAATATATTTAATGATCATTGAAATTGGTGTAGACAGTCGCTTTGTAAATAATTATCTTTATTTTCAATCGAACCGATTCTGATTTAAAAGATAATACCATAATATTCATTCGCATTGATCATTAAACGTCATATAATTATTATCGAACACATCAGATAGATAGAAGAGAAAAGACATGCGAACTGGTTGTAAAAGCGGTGTGTTTACTGACTGACCCATTATGCGACCAGATGCTTTCTTCGTAAAATTTTCACCGTGTTTAACGGTCCTTTGGAGACGTGCTCGTTTATACAAACCGGTACATGTGCAAATAGACTTTTTCTATCGTGCATCGACTGCAAATTAGGCGATTGTATTGGAGATGTATTCGAACAAATTCGAAAAAATCACATGAATCGAATCTCATGATTCATGATATATCCACAAATTTTTGAAACAACTATATCCAACATATATACGTGGATATATATATATATATTATATACATACATACATATATATATATATATATATATATATATATATATATATATATATAT